CGCGCGCTTTGGCTCAGCGGGAAGCTAAGGTCCTCTGCTGTCTTGCGGGCAATCCCGACCTCCCGGCGGTCAAGTTGTCTTGATCCAATCCCTTCCCGCTTTTGAAGACTGAGGGTAATACGATTGAGACTTGACCTGACGACTTGGGATTCATGGAGCAGAACGTGGTTGCAGCGAGCAGAGGTGCCAGTCCTTGCGACATGGCGACAGGTGGCCACAGCGGCCGTATTCTCGGATCGTTGGATCCGCACCCGGACCTTAATCTTCTGCACATTGTGCACGCACAAGCCAAATTAGGCGTTCTGCAACAAGTTTTTTCTATGAGGTTTGGCTGTTCATCGGCTTGTCCCCTGTCATCTGGTGTCCTTTTCAGTGATTCTTTGTCTTCATGTCCTGCCATCTTCCTTAGTTTGCGCACACGCGCACACTTTCTTGAACAAAGTAGTCAAAGCCCCAGGTGAGTTACAATGACGTTTGGCTCATCGGTTGCGCCGGCAGGGTGGAGGCCGGACATTCGGTGACCTTGAGGATGTGCTACCTTAGAGCTACCACACCTGAGGTTGCCCGGAGCCTTAAAAGTCTGCCTCGGGAGGCGTGTGCGCGCAAGCCCTGGATTCATGGGTAGCCAGATAGCTTCCTTTCACACTCCAATGTCGCCACCGGCCCAGACTGACCCGGAAAAAAAGAAACGTTGTTTGGAAGGCAACCTCAAGCTGTTTCGTTGCAACTCGATTGAGTGCCTAGAACTCTAAGTATAGCTCAAGCTGTCTCATGCATTGTTTAGCTATAACGTTCTTCCTGGTCGCCTGTTTTACTCAGGCAGTTTTCTCACTCAGGCAGCGTCAGGGCAAGTGGCATTCTGACCGAACGAACCATATCTTGAGTGTGCGCTTGTGTGCGCCGCATGAAACAGGATCCCTCAAAACAAGGGCTCCCCTGCAATTCTACACGCGCGTTCTCTGAAACGAACTGCTGTAGGTTCAAAACTTTAGCATTTCTCGGTGCAGAATTTCCAGGAATACTACTGTACAGTAATAACCTTCCTACTCCCGAGGTTTTGACGAAGAAAGCAACACTGAAACAAGCGAAGTGGCTCTTGTAGAAGTCCAGAGCAAGACCGGATTCGCTGTAGGCAGCATTGAGAATGGCCCGGCTCACATACATGGATTCTTCCCCAAGATATCCCATGCTTCCTAAATCCTCAGCAGCCAATCTTGGGTACTCCTTTGCAAACTGACTCTCGGTGGAAGCATAGCTTCCAATCCAGGAGTCCACGCTGACATGGATCGTCGTTTCTTGGGCGCCACATCTCCTGTTGACTTTGTCGTTGAAGTCGGTACACCCGGCCAAGGCGAAAACGGGAGAAGCTCCATTCCCACCCACTGTAGGATCTACCTCAGCATGGAAACCCAGCACCTCGCGGATCATCAGCGCGGTCATCTGGCTGAGAAGAGCGGAAGATGCCCAAGCCATTTCAAACACTCCAATTGGAATGTTGTTGCCTGCGTCATCCTCAAGGGAGGGTTCAGTTCTAGTTCCAAAAGACAGTGGCGCAACTTTTTGGGCTGGTAAATTTGAATCCAATGCTATGTTGCCTTATCAACTCCAAGGCCCCTTGGCTTTGATCAACACAAACGTCATCGGCTCCGCTTGACGCCACCCCGAAACTGTCCTGGATGTACTTCCGCTGGCCTTCCGGCACACCATCATCGAGGCAGAGCTCCGAGCCCCATACGCCCAGATTCAGCCCAAGAAGCACCACTGCCAGGCGCAGCATTGCTCCAAGCATGTCACCCAGGAAATTCAGAACGCTGATCTATGAGCCACAAAGGACTGTCGCCAGGACATCCAATTGCTTCATCATCTCTCAGACAAACAGGAAACACTTTGGACAGGAACCCATTTGAAACGAAGTAAAAAAAGCGAAGGTCTTTGTCACCGCCGGCCTGCACTCTCGTACGAGAGGTGGTCGAGAGAAGCACAAAGCTTGGAAGCCGCCGCGGCCCTGGCTGCGAAATCAACTTTGTTGGATTCATTGGCCTTGAGTAAAGCGACCCTTCAAAAGAAAGGTGACCTCACCCCACCCTGCCTGCCCTGGTTAGCCCTAGATCAAAAGGCGTCTTCTTCCGCCATCAAGGTGAACTGGCACTGGCACTGACGGCCAGCCTTGGCGCGCACTCAAGGTTGTACCAGCAACGTGCTTTTGAACAATAACGGGCTGTTTTTTGCAGGTCAAAAAGTATAGCGAAGCGCATGTGCGCTCATCTAAGAAACGGGTTTGGTCAAAGCAAGACATTGACACTTCAGTATGGCACATCCAAGACCTATCGGCCGCATGTCAACGCCCGACAAAATAGAACACAAAAAAGTGGAGGAAATTTAACTCTGACCATGTGAGGCGGAAAATCTACAAATTGTAGCCCAGCCACAAACGGAATCTCGTGTCTTGGCCACGATGAGAGACAAAAGTGAACATGAGCATTTCGTGTCTTGCCACTACTTTCTGTCGATCCGTTGCTCAAACCGCACCTTTGACGCTTGCCGCCGAAACGGCACGCAGCGTTGAACAACCAACGCTGCCGACCATCGGCACGGACCCATCCGATCCCATCGCGCGGAATCGCGTCCTCTCGGCCTCCCGACGGGGAATCGGGAGCACCTGCGCGGAACAAGCACCGAGCAAATTGACGAAGTGATGCAAAAGGTTCATCCCTCAAGGCTGTTTCAGGCATCGCCAGCTTTAGGCTCCAGTCAGCACGGCCTGTCCATCCCGACCTGTCCATCTCCCTGAGAAAGGAACCATTTCTCAATAGAGAAACCAATGTCGTGTTGCTCTCCAAGAGACCCACTCGCTGGCCGTAGATCAGAAAGAAAAGCATTGCGGTCTTCCCGCCTATCACCCTGCTGAGTGTGATGCGACTCTACCCTGACAGTCCAAAACTGTAAGAATGGTCTGTAAAGCTTTGAAGTAGAGAGCAACCTCTATTTTACTTTGGGGCAAAATATAGTTACTAGTAACAAGGGCATCGCTACTAGGAGCAAGGACGCTACTAGGGGCTCCTGGCCTTACTACTAGGAACAAGAAGCTACTAGTCTTCGACTTCGAACTATATATAGTTGCAATAACTTCCCGCGTCGGATCACCTTCAGCATGGATTGTGTCTCAAGGATATGTATATATATGTCTGTACACTCTACATGTCTCAAATTCAGCTTCAAAACGCCTGAAGAAGACACAGCCGGCCTCCGGTTTGCACCTGGGTTGCACATGGGTTGCCGCTGTGTCCACAAAGCTGACCCGAACTCGAGCAGGGCGGGGGTGCCCAAAAGTCCTAGCAAGAAAGCTTCCTGGTTGAACACGAACCACAACAGGTCTGCACCACTGCACCGCACTTCTTTCCACACATGTGAGGATTCTGTGCGGATGCAAAAGTGGGCTGAATTACAGCCAGGAATCTGCCCACCTACGAAGGGCTAGTGCTGTTAGCGGAACCCTGTCTTTGGGTTGTACCATTTTTTTAAGGTGAAAAGGACGCATCAGCTAGTCTGAAAAGGCCTATCGGTTTCTGTTGCTCGGACCGCCCGGTGTCTTCCACCCGCAAAGGCCTGAAACGCGATGCCCAGTTTGGCCCGGTTATAGGGCTACCCACGACCCTGCGACCCGGTCGGAGGCGTGGGCCGATTGGGCGCGGACGGCTCCAACTGAGTTCATCCCCCAGGCGCAGGGGGTCCAAGTAGTCAACACGAAACACGAGCCCACATTGCACGACTGTGCGAGAATACCATCTGTGTCATCCTTTGCTTGATGAGTAACATGTGAAAGCTACTGGTAACAGGTGCCACGCTAGTAGTAACAAGTGCCTTACTAGTAGTAACAAGAAGCTAGTAGTAAC